CTCGCTGAGATGGACTCCTGACTGTTGGGGAAGACGTGGGTGTGCGCGATAGCGGTGGAAAAAAAACTCTTCATCGTCGTCCTGAGCTTCTTCGCTGTTGCCGTCGCCCTCTTGCAGGTAGAAGGGTAGCAGATGTTCGCCGCCCTTTTCTTCGAGGGGGAGTAGGCGACGAAGAAACACATAACGTAGCACCCTGCAGTTGCGGATGAGAGTGAGGGGGCGGCGGGGTCGTCGGCAGTCTGCGAGGCTCTGAAGAAGCCCGCCGCAGGCGCCATTTGTTTCAATACTTATACAGCGAGCCCGCCGCAGGTGCCGATTTTTCCGTCGAAGCAATGTGGGTGGGTCGCGGGTGTGTCGTGGATGGGTCGCCGGGTGGGTCGCGGGGTGGGTCCCAGGGTGAGTCGCGCGGTGGGCCGCGGGCGAGGACGACGACAGCGCAACAATTACAACAACCACAACAGCAACAGCACCACCACCACCACCACAAACAACAACAACAACACATAACACCAACACAACAAAAACACGAACAACAACACCATCAACAACACTACCATCAACATCAACAATAATAACAACATCAGCAGCAACAGCCATCATTTTACGACTGTTCGCTCTGATCTGCTCGGGCGTCAGTCAACGTGTATGTCCCAAACCCGCCCTCTTCGTCTTCGATAGTACCCCCTTTGGGTGGTAGACCTTTCTTCCCTGTAGGCCGGGCCCCGGCAAGCGGCGGGGCGGCCGCGGACCGTCAGCCTGGCCAGCGGGCTGACCGGCGGCCACCCGACCCCAGAGGGACCGACAGGGGACCGACCGCGACGACGACGACGACGACAACGACGACGACGAGTGAAAGCGAGAGCGAGAGCGAGAGCGAGAGCGACAGCGGGGCCGCGAAAGGCAGCGATAGGGCCACGAAGGGCTGCAACGGGGCCACGAAGGGCTGCAACGGGGCCACGAAGGGCAGCGAGGGGGCCACGAAGGGCGCGAACGAGCGGGGGCCACGAAGGGCAGATGGTGCGGGGCCACGGAGGGTAACGACGGGGCCCTCTGAGGGTAGCCAATGGGGCCACGTAGGGCAGCGAGGGGGCCACAAAGGGTGACAGCGGGGCCGTGAAGGGCTGCGACGGGGCCACGAAGGCAGGGAGGGGGCCACGAAGGGCTGCAATGGGGCCACAAAGGGTTGCAACGGGGCCACGAAGTGCAGCGAGAGGGCCACGAAGGGCGCGAGCGAGGGGGGGGCCACGAGGGGCAGATCATGCGGGGCCACGGAGGGCAACGACGGGGCCGCTGAGGGTAGCAACGGGGCCATGTAGGGCAGCGAGGGGGCCACAAGGGGTGACAGCGGGGCCACGAAGGGCTGCGACGGGGTCACGAAGGGCAGCGAAGGGGCCACGAAAGGCAGCAACGGGGCCACGAAAAGCAGCGAAAGGCCACGAAGGGTTGCAACGGGGCCACGAAGGGCGGCAAGGGGGCCACGAAGAGTTGCAACGGGGCCGCGAAAGGCGGCGAGAGGGGGCCACGAAAAATTGCAACGGGGCCGCGAGGCCGCGAAGGGCAGCGAGGGGGCCCCGAAGGGCAGCGGGGGGGCCACAGAGGAGTGCAACGGGGCCACGAAGGGCAGCGAGGTGGCCACGAAGGGCTGCAACGGGGCCACGAAGGGCAGCGAGGGGGCCACGAAGGGCTGCAACGGGGCCACGAAGGGCAGCGAGGGGGCCACGAAGGGCTGCAACGGGGCCGCGAAGGGTGGCGAGGGGTACACGCAGGTCCGCGACCGGGCCACGAAGGGCAGCGAAATCCCGATGTTTAAGTAAGCTGTCAGGGAGTCCTAGGCGTACGGGCGGCTCCTGGGTGCTTGAATGTCGGGAGCGCGGCGCTTGAGCACCTCGCGGGGCATTCCAACGCAAAATTGCGATTCTTGAGTAAGTTGCAAGCAAGTCTCTAGCGAAAGTGCGATTCCAGAGCGCCGAAAGAGCGATGCTTGAACAGATTTTTAGGAAGTCCCAAGCGAGAGCGCGATTCTTGAGTAAAATGCGAGGAAGTCTTAGGCGGGAGCGGGGTTCAAGCTAAATTGTGAGGGCATCTAAGGCGGGAGCCGTTGTTGTTGTAACCCGCGGGGCAGGGGTGCAGTTCGACCCTTGTGTTTTTCCTTGGTAAAGAAACAGGGTGCGCGCCCCGGGGGAAGCACTTCAATGAAAAAACATCACGGTCACCGGAGGGGGGGAATTAATAATATTTTTCTTTAGTCGTGAGAGTTCAACAGCATTACTATCACCAACAACACCACCACCAACAACAACAACACCAACACCAGCAACAACAATACAGCAACATCAACAGCAGCAACAACAGCAACAGCAACAGCAACAGCAACAACGCCATCAAAACCACCAACACCACCACCAACAGCAAAACCACCAACAATAATGTCACATCATCAACAACAGCACCAGTAGCAACAACAACAGCAGCAACAACAACACCATATCAGTACCACCAGCAACACCAACAACAACAGCAACGATACCAACAATCATTTTAGGCCTGTTCGCTCTGATCTGCTCGCGTGCCATTCAACACGTCTATCCCGAATTCTCGATACCCGCCCTCTTCGTTTGCGTTCGTACCCCGTCAAGGGTATATTTGTTTCTTACCTGCAACGTGTATTTCGTGCAGCCCCTAAGGCAGGGAAAGAGAGGACGGATGGAAGGAAGGGACAAGGGGGAGAGGAGGATGGAGCATGAGAGAGAGTACCAGGAGGGGGGCTAGGAGCAGAAAGCACGTGGCCCAACCAAACGGGCTGATCGGGCGGGTTGACCCTAATGGGCGGGTCGGGAAGGCGGGCCCAGACGGCCAGGTCGAACAGGCGGGTTGCTGAAGCGTGTGTCCTGCATGAATCGCGGGGAAGTTTCGAACGATAGCGCGATTCCCAAATAAATTGTGAGGAACATCGCAGCGAGAGCGTGATTCCTGAGTGTCGAGGGCGCGGCGTCATAACAAGTGGCACGCGTGCCCTAGCTCTTGCACAGAGGAGCTGGGGCTCAGGCTCAGGGGGGGGGGGGGGGCAAGGGGGACGAACCACGACGAACCACGAGCCACGACGAAAATAAGGATGTCCGCGGCCCAGGGGGGCTGCCCTGGGAAGCCTGGACGGAGGGGGTCCCAAGGGGGGGTGGCCAGGGGAGCTGGGGCTCAGGCTCAGGGGGGGGCCGAGGGGGACGAACCACGACGAACCACGAACCACGACGAAAATAAGGATGTCCGCGGCCCAGGGGGGCTGCCCTGGGAAGCCTGGACGGAGCAAGCCTCCGAAGGGTGGGTGGCCCAGGGGAGCTGGGGCTCAGGCTCAGGGGAGGGGCCGAGGGGGACGAACCACGACGAACCACGAACCACGACGAAAATAAGGATGTCCGCGGCCCATGGGAGACTGCCCAGAACAAGAAAGTGCGAACCAAGGAAGAAACATTTTAATTGAAAGATGCAATGCTTACTGGGCAGGGGGATCAACAACATTTATTTTTCGCAATGAGACCTCAACAACACCTACAACAATAACAACAGCAACAACACCAGCAACACCAGCGACAGCAACAACACAACAGCAGCAACAGCACCAGCACCAAAACCAACAACAACACCAACAGCAGCAGCAGCAACCACAACACCAATGACAACACGAATGACAACACCAGCAACAATAGCAGCAGCAACACCAACAACAGCAGCAACGTCAACACCAACAACACCAATGACAACACCACCACCAACAACAGCAACAACAACAATCCGCACCGCGAAACCCGACTTCAGCCACGCGCCCAAAGTCAATGCATGAGCGTTATGCCCCCCTCACTCTGACCATGGCCACCGAGTACCATCGGGGGGGGTGTCCGACCCCTGGGCGGTGGCACGCCCGACCGTCATCCAGTACTCGACGACGCTCACGCGTGCCACCGCTCAGGAGTGGGCCCCCCGATGGCTTTTCGGTGTCGGTGGTGTTTGTTTTCCCGCTGAAGGGCGAGGAGGCACGAGGACGAGTGTACCCTTCTGCTCTCACGAGGGCCGCGACCCGGTGAGGGCACCCATGTGCCGAAGGACGTCACACATGCGCTGGGGCAGTTTTTGAAGGAGGAAAAACTGCATACATCTGAACGTGTGGAGCTGCGCGCGGATTTCTTGGATCGGCGCTGGACCCCCCTCCCTGGCGCGCGGAGTGCGCCAGGGGCGGCGCCGAAGGCCGAAGCGCCGATCGAAGAAGCTGCACAAGTTTAGGTTTATGCAGTTTTTCCCTTTCGAAGTATCTTGTTTCTCGATGCCAGTGACTCGAGTGGGACGACCGTCTTCTGCGCCGTCCTCCTCTTCGACTTCGTCGCCGTCCTCCTCTGCCGCCGAGGCCCTTGGGCGTCCCTCGCTTCTGTTTGCGCTCGGGCGTCGTCGCCCGGATCCGAGCCAGAGCCCCTGATGGGCTTCGGATGAGGATGAGGATGTGGATGAGGAGGGGGAGCATGGGGAGCAGGGGGAGGGGGAGGGGGAGGATGTGCATGAGGAACTTGACAATCATATTACCCACACGTGCAAATAGGAGAAGTGGAATACGAAGACGAGACGAAAAATAACACTCACCAATCGAGGAAGCGCAAACATGGGGTAAGGCGCGTGGATTAGCGACGGGTTCCGTTCATGTGCGAAGTCGGTTCGCTGCGTCGCCAACTCAGGCGTCATTGGCCCCATGGTTTGGGGGGGGTTATCTTCCTCGATGCATGGATTTGGTGCCCGCGCGCCAGATCCACGGGTCCCTGATCCATGTCAGCGTGTACCCGAAGAACGGATAATCACATTCAGGAGTGCTGTAATTCAGAATGCCAAGCGACATGAGATTACGGGCAACACGAGTACGACAACGAGCAACAATAATGATACGAATGCTAAGAGCATTACGCTATATGTTATTAGCATACAGAAGGGGATCAGGAGCCCCCCCCCGCACCCTGCCAGCGGAGGCGCCCGCGGCGCCGCGGCGCCGCCCAGGTCGGCGATCGTCGAGGCCGCGCTGAGGGAGGCCACGGCGTCGCCGTCGCAGCCACCGTCGCGTCGTGTCGGTCGTCGTCGGGCGTCCTCTTTGGGCCTCTCCAGGGTGATGAACCAGTGTGAGCATTGGTTACTTCGGGTGGCATTTCCCTTCTGCTTCAAGTGGGGCGTGGGCATGCCGGGCATGCCAGAGTGATCAGAGAATGCGCGCCGTCAACGCGGCCCAGCAGCGCCATGGGTAGAATTGGCAATGAGGGCGCGTATCATGACGCGTCGAGTGGAGTCTCAATTCCGTCGTGACAAGAGATTTTGGGTTTACGTCGTCGTCAGCCTTGCTCCAGGGCGCAGCGAACGTGGCGCGGACGATGCGCCCGGCCAACGATCGGAAGGGAGGAGAGACGGATTGCCAGTGCACGCATGCGGGAGCTCGAGAAAGCGGCATTCAGCCTCTGCGATGCTTTGCGCGGCGCGTGCAAGGTTCCGTCCACGGGGAAGACGACGAATGCTTGAGAAGACTTCTCAACGGTGAAATCTGTTCAGTCTCTGGGCCCAGCAGCGAAGCGTTTGGTGGCAAGGGCGAGCGCTAATGCCCGCGAGATGGAAGGGGCGAACGAGGTGCGGATGCTGAAGAGGTGCGACGCCCATGCGGCTCGAATCGCGCACGGCGTGTGTGCGTGTGTGTGTGTGTGTGTGTGTGTGTGTGTAATGTGTGCGTGTGTGTGTTGTGTGTGTGTGTGTGTGTGTGTGTGTGTGTTTTGTGTGTTTTGTGGTGTGTGTGTGTGTGTGTGCGTGCGTGCGTGCGTGCGTGCGTGCGTGCGTGCGTGCGTGCGTGCGTGCGTGCGTGCGTGCGTGCGTGTGTGTGTGTGTGTGTGTGTGTGTTTGCGTGCTTGCGACGGCTGCCGCTGACGACCGTGCCCTGCACACGCGGCCCAGAACCGCGGCCTCAGGAGCTGGGCGCGCCGCACCCAACCCCCACCCCTCGCACGAACACGGGCGCGAGCGCGGCAGGGCGTGGGTTCAACCCCCCTGGGAACCGTGCGACAGCGCAGTGCGGCGTTCGCCCAGAGATTCCAGCGATCGGGCCCGAGCCAACGAGCGCGAGCGCGACCGGGACCGCGACAGGGACAGGGGTGTAGGGTGGGCCCCTTGGCACCAGCAAGGCACCAGCGATCGGGACCGAGCCAGAGAGCGCAATCGCGACCAGGACCGCGATCGTGACAGGGGCATAGGGTGGGCCCCTTGGCACCAGCAGAACGATCGACGCAACCCTCAGCACAAGGAGGATCGCCGCTATTGGGAAGCCCGCCGTGTCAGCTGGCCACGACGCCCGGACGAGACGGCGGCCACTCACCTGAAGAGGCTGAAGGCCGAGGGAGGCTACCACTTCACCGCAGCTTGGCACTCGTGGTGCAGGCATAGGTGTCAGGAGCAGGACAAGGGCAAGTCCAAGGACCAAGTCAAGTTCGACCCGGTTTGCTGGCAGCCCAAGATGATCGATCAGTTTCTTGAGGACATGGCCAATAGCCACCATCATGTGGAAACGTGGGCCCGGAACGCTGGCGTCTACGTGGACAGAGAACGGGAGAGCGCCCTGTACCAGGAGTCCCAGAAAGGGAGGTAACCAAGGGGGAAGGACGCGGAGAGGGCCAGGCACGCAGCTCTGGGTACACCGACAACTGGACCAGGAAACGCCCCAGTCGCTGACCAGCTCTGGCACTGGCCCCCCCGCCCCCCCTGACGGCGCACAGGGTGCCGCCCCGGGCATCTCCTGTTCCGTGTAGGCCCTTGGCGCTGTGCGTACAACCAGCACACCGCTGGCCGCGCGCCCATCCTGATCCCCCCCTTTCCCCTCCCCATTCGCACCTGGACTTGGGACCGTTAGTCCCCCTGATCCCACGCCTGTTCCGACCATGGCTGGGACTGAACGCCCGACCGCAGGAGCCCGGCAGCCCACGGGCTCGGCCGTCCAATACGGGCGCAGGGAATGGGCTCTCACTTGTGCGGCCTGGGCCGCGCCTTCGGCTACCTGCCTCCCTCCCCCCCCCGCTTTCCACCTGCATTTGGGGCCGTTAGTCCCCCCTGATCCGCTGGGCCTACCTGATCCGGACGCCCGGGCTACATGCTCGGCAGGGCGGCGTCCGCGTCTTCCTCCTCCCTCCTCCTTCTTTCAACTGGTATTGGGATCGTTTGTCCCTCCTGATCCCGCAGGGTGCCCTGATCCACCGGGCCACGTGCTACCTCTGGCGCGGGGGCTGGCTCGCTGGGCTGGCCATTCTCCTTCTTGCCCGCTTCGCCCCCCTCCGCTCGCTACCCCCCCTCCCGTGGCGGCAGCGCCCGGCACTGTGCGGCTCCAGCCCGGTGCCGGGCGCCTGCTCCTTGCCGCCTCGGCGGCCCCGCTGGTCTTGGCGCTGCGCGGCTCAGGCCCGGCCCTTGACACTGCGGATCGGCAGCGCATCGTGTGTGGCTTCCGCCCGCCCTCGCGCGCTTGCCGGTGCAGGGCAGGCTCCCTCCCTGCAGCGCGCCGGCGTCCTGTCGGTCATCGGCGGCAAGTTCGTGGTTCGCCTGGCTGCCGCGCTTCAGGCTGCGGGTCCCCAAGTCCGTGGATTGGATTGCCGCGGCTGGTACTCCTGGCATCACTTTGGTGGCGCAACGTTGCGCTCCTGCTCAGTGGTGCTCCTCTTCCTCTCGGACGTCGACCTGGTGGCGCGGCGCGCCCTCCCCCGCAGTTTATGAGGCTGGTGTTCTCGAAGCGCCGCTGACGGCTCCACCGCCGGCTTTCTTCCTCCTGGGACTTCGACGCCGGGCCCCTGTCCATGGTGTACCTTTTCCTGCACGTCCACTTCGGCGCCGCCTGATCCCTGGGCTTCGCCCTCTCCCGGCCGCGTTGGGGCCCCGCCTTCCTCCGCCCTTTCTCTGCGAATGAAAGCTGTGCGCGTCCCGCTTAGCTTTCAGCGGAAGAGGTTCGCTCTCGCCCTGCGTATCAAAAAAGTGCGTGTGTGTGCGTGCGTGCGTGCGTGCGTGCGTGTGTGTGTGTGTGTGTGTGTGTGTGTGTGTGTGTGTGCGTGTGTGCGTGCGTGCGTGCGTGCGTGCGTGCGTGCGTGCGTGCGTGTGTGTGTGTGTGTGTGTGTGTGCGTGTGTGTGTGTGTGTGTGTGTGTGTGTGTGTGTGTGTGTGTGTGTGTGTGTGTGTGTGTGTGTGTGTGTGTGTGTGTGTGTGTGTGTGTGTGTGTGTGTGTGTGTGCGTGTTGGGGTGCGTGCGTGCGTGCGTGCGTGCGTGCGTGCGTGCGTGCGTGCGTGCGTGCGTGCGAGTGTCTGGCGCGGGATTCGCTCGCCGGCGCGAGCGGCATTCGGGTTCTATGGCCTTCGCGCGCGTGTCGGGCACGCGGTGTTGTCCGACGTGCCGGGGCTGCAGGCGCTCGGAATTGCTGTGGGGTGGGGGGGGGGGGGGCAGCGCGACGGCGGTTGACGGGGGCGCGCGTGCGTGGTCGGGGTGCGCGGCGGCGTCCGAGCCCAGAGATCGGTGGGGAGTTTCCGCTGGCACGTGCATGTGTTTGTTCGGTGTCTGCGTCGGCGCGTTCCGATGCGTGATGGTGCAGCTCCCAGGGGGCGTTTGCCGAGTGCGTTAACGAATGCAGGAGGTATAGGACGCGTTTCGACAGGTGTGCGCCGTCGTCGAAGGGTGGGGGGGGAGGGTGGCGGAGGTGGAGGAGACGTGGCCCGCGTGGCGCGACGCGATGGGCCTGGTGATTCCGCCGGGGAAGCTGGGCAGCAGGTTTGCTCGTCGTCGGGAGGCATCGGCGAACATATATTCGACGAGAACAAAGAAATCGGACCAGCGGAATCGGGCGATGCGGCCAGGGATGGAACAGAGGGGAGCGCGCAGGACCGACCGTGGTTACGAGCGTATCTGAGCGCGTTGTTGCAGAGCGGCCATGAGATTCGACTGGGCCGCGTGCGCCAGTGGAACAAGCTGTGTTATCGCATGGTGCCGTAGGCACATTGCCACATGAAGTTGGCCAAGCAAAGTGTAAGATTTTCTTCCCGCGCACGTCGCGGCTTGTAAAGCGGGCAGTCGTCTTGTGCCAGGGTGCAAGTGCGCCGCGTGCCCGGAGCTGGCGGGCGCGGCTCGACAGGTCTGTTGCTTGGGTTCATTGGCGAAAAGAACGTCGACGCCGATCTGCCTGCGATGCTGAGCGGGGCTGCATGGTTGAATTTCGACGCAGATCTGCAGCATCCGTTGGGAATTCCGGTCGCGGAAGCCGCGCGCGAGACGTCCGCGCGTGGGTGCCGTTGCTGGGAAACGGGCCAGCCTTGGGGGGCCTGCCGCGCAGCGGGCGCAGCGTGCAGCGGCGTGGCATGCCGCAGACCGCCGTTGCGAGTCGAGCGGTGCGCGCCATTGCTTAACGGGGCGAGGGGGATGGAGAGATGGCGCCGCGCGCTTGCCGAACAGATGAAGGGCGGCCCGCGGCGCAATGAGCGCGTGGACACATGGGGTGGCCTTTAAGTGACATGTGCGTCAGAGGCGCGGCGCGGTCGGCGCGAGAGAGTGCGAACATGCGCGCGCGCAGGAACCTCGGGGGCTCGGCCGCTGCCGAGAGTGTAAAGACAGCGAAGGCTGCGCCTTTGGCGCGCGCGGCTGGGCGTCTTTGCGCGCGCGGGAAAAATTCCCCCGCGGCGGCGTCGGGGACTTTGGCGGCTGGTGGGCCCGAGGGTCCGCGCGAGGTGCGGGTCGAGCCAGGGGCGCCCGAGCCGCCTGGTCAGCCGTTTCTGCCGTTGCGCGAGTTCCCCCGGTGCTGGCGAGTAGAACGGGGAGTTCTTTCCGCGCGGCGCCTGGGCGCTTGTGGGGGCCAAGCAGCGACGAGCGTCGGACAGGGTGGCGTCGTCGGGCGTTGAAGAAGGAAGTGCGCGAGGCGGAGCGAGGGGGTGGGTGGCATGCGAAGGAGAAGTTCGCGTCTGGGCGCAACCTGAAGCAGGGGTCGATCAGTGCGACAGGAGGTGGGCGCGACGCGTGGGTCCCACTCCCTGAGGCAGGG